CCGACCGACTGGGTGCTCTTCTCTCCCTCTTCTTCTGAGCCCAGCGGGCTCATGCACTATGCACATTAAATGCTTGAAGGAACCAACATGAATATAATGGCAATCGAGAAGGAACAATCCTACCCTATAAACGGATAGACGAAGGAAGATAAGGGAATGAAGGGAGTTGCTAGACTCCAAGGAAAACTAGCTCACCTTTGAAGACGCTCACGAAAAGGAACCAGCCACTGATTATGGACAATAGGGGGAGTGACACACACTGTCCCGAGAGAAAATTGTGAGGCTTGGGTAGGAAGCGATGGGTGGACCAAGGGAAAGGCACTTGTTCTATATGTGGCCCGCTTCAGACTTGTGATCTGTATGTGAGGAATTGAGCGTCCTGCCACTTCGGAAGGAAAGGGTGGGTCTGCACCGGTTGGTGCGGGTTGCGAAACGTCACTCTCTTTGAAGTTCGCCGGGTCCCATGTGCGGAGGTCGGGCCACCGGGCTGTCAGGTAGGAGTTGGGTCCGTCGGTTGATTAGTAGCATTCCCTCCTGGGCGGGCCGAGCATCGCTCGGGACCGTACCCAGGCGGGGTGTGAAACGTCTCCTCAGGCGGGGCGGCTGCTTGTCGGCAGACGGCAGGGGGACCACTGCATGTGGAGCAAGGAGGGAGCCTCGGAAACGATTAGTAGCCTCTCGCGATACAGCATGGTAAAGACTGATTCTTATCGGACCGATGGATGTGAATGCCCGGACGACTGACTTTTGTCCTTACCGGGGTACACGGGGTGATTCCCGGTGCCAACGGGGGTGTGCAAGAGCGGCAAGACGGGATGGGGTATTCTGGGCAAGAAGGTGAGGGCGTCCCCCCACTGGAGTCTGGGTACCTCGCTCGCGACGGTTGAGCTGTGCTTGAGGTACGGGATAAAACCCTGCCGATAGTAACAGTGGAGAGACCACATGGGAAAAGGTTGGTGAGGAGATAACCGGCTTGTGTGCGAGATTGCTTGATTTTCTTTTTTTATCTCCCCCTGTACGATTGCTTGAGGATGAACTATGGGAAAGGGACCAAGCCTCTAAGTCTATTCTCACCCCCGCCTAAGTCTGCACGAGTGAGAGAAAATTGGAAGGAAGGAAGGGGTCAGCTGAAATGGAACCAAGAGAAGGAATGTGGGACGCGATGACTGACCGAAGGTACTACAAGGAAAGATATCCGGGTAATAGGCGGGGGAAATTAGGGAGACCCGGGTGAGGGGTCTGAAATGATTCTCATCTAGAAAATGGAGTTAGTCTGACCGAGGGGGCCGTGCGGTGCTCGCTTATGAAAAACAGGAACTGGGGACCGGAAAACGAGATGCCGCGGTGGTTGTCGTCTCCAGTCTACTCTAGCGGTCCGGAAATTCCGATAGATGTAAAGGGCGGAGTATCCGTCGTCCTCTCGGAGAATGGAACATGGACAGACCTGGAGCCAGCCTATCAAACTATGATGCTGGACGAGAAGGACGCAATCCTCTGGATAGAGACGATATGGACTAAGGTCAGCCTAACGAGACTGTCGCCGAGCTTGATGGACTTGGAATTCCGGGGGACGGTGGAAGCCCGAGGGTGGGTCTACCTATCCCAGGAAAGTGAAAATGCAATGGTAATAGAACTAGTATTGGGGACTGCGCCGGACTTGCTGTTTAGGCAAGCAGAGCGGGAGGTAGTATGGGCAGCATGTTAGCGGGCGGAAATGGAAAGGGACAAGGTAGAGGTACGAGTGGAGCTCAGGGATAGAGGAAATGTGAGACGGCCCCTTAGGATGCTGAGATGCGTACTACCCCCATTTCTGGTGGACGCGGTCTTTGGAACCCGGAAGAGATTGGAACAAATATGTCGGTCAATGACAAAACGGAGGTTGTACTAGTGTGCTCGACAAAACTTCTTTAGGCTGTCGGTAGAAATGGGGCCGTTCGGAGGGAAATGGGCGGAGGAGTTAGCTGATATACTAAACCTCCTTAGCATGGATGACGTTTTTGTCCTTAGTCCAGTGCATTGGCGGATAGTTTACCGAAATGTGGTGGTAGGGGAGACCTTCCTAGAGGGGCTGAGGGAATTGTTCTACAATGATGAGGATGATTTCAGCGATGACGGGGACGATGACGAGATAGAGGATTGGGACTTCTGAGAGGGGAGGCTTATCCGGGGAAATGGGTGGTCGGCTCTGTGCAGGAAGGAAGCGATGGCAAGGGAACTACAGCTAAGGGGCTGCACGTTTAAAGGATGGGAGCCGAGACGAGTCGAAGGGGGGGTAGAGATGTCCATACCAGCGGATAATGAATGGAGAGGGACCACATGTGACTGGGTTGGACTTGAGATTGTACCAGAATTATCGTACCTGTGGGTAGAGCGTGTCTGAAACCCGCTAAGAGAAGAGGAAGGATGGGAAGAGATTGCGGAAGGAAGGGTGGAATCGGTCGGGACGGTCATCCTCGCCGAGCAAGGGTGACACCTATTTTGTACAATGCTCGCGGCAGGACAAAGTCCGATGTGGCTTCTAGGGGATGTCGTGGCAAGGACTCGGAGGGCAGGCAAGAGATTTGCCAACAAGGAATGGGATGTGGTCCGTAGTAAGGTCGTGATGGGAGGATGGAAGGAGTTTAGGCCTCCCTGTCTGCGAACCAAGATTTGGGTACCCGAGTTTGTGGCGGACTAGTTTGGGGGGTTTTATCACGTCGCGGAGGTAGCCAGCACTATGGGGCGGGTACACGTAAATTGCGCATGGCTGACGGAATAGTTTTATAAAACATCATTGAAATTCAGGCCCTTCCACGGCGACAGAGCCTGGGAGGTCCTCATCATTTTGGATATGGACAGGAACGACCAGCTAGAGGTAGCCCCAAAGATCAGGGAAGCCATAATCCAGAGAGAGGTAGCAGCAACACCTTGCTATGTGGATGATGTGTTCAAGCTATTCGAAGTGATGTGGTTCAATTAGGGGCTAGGAAAACCCGAACTAGCAGGGCAAGTTAGGGGGTAAAGGAAGAAAGGAAAGAGGAAGGGGAAAAACTAGGGGGTGACGTGGACAGGGAAACATGTATCTTATGCAAACCAACCAGGGATAGAAGTACTAAGACTGGGATTGGGGTGTCCGACTATGGTAGGGATCTTTGCAGCACCGCGGGATAAAGGTCGAAGGTAGGTAGAGGATGCGTAATGGCACGAAGGAGGACGTTCCTTGAGGATCGCCCGCTCGGAATCAAGCCGCCGAGGGAAGTGACTAGCGGCATAGAAATCAGCCTACCTACCGTAAATGAGGTCTGACACCCGGTGGTGGATTGGGTCGGGATCGAGCTTATGGAAAACACGATCTACCTAGTAACCAAGGTTGAGTGGCGGGCTGATGAGGACGGCGAGTGGAATCCGGATCCGCGGGGATGGATGGGAAGTGTCACTTCCAGCAAGCTACTTGGTTCTAGGGATCGACATGGAATGAAGAGTTGTGACCTTGGGAAGGGACCAGACCTTCATGATGGTCGAATGTTTATGGAGGGGTATGAGGTTTAATAGGGGATCAGGGGACGATCTATATGCTGAATTGAGGGTGACGGGGACTATATACCTACCGGAGATTGGGTGGCAGATGCTAGGAACTGAGATGGCACTAGGACATGGGTTGCTGCCAATATTCCGAAGGGCTGCCAGGATAGTGAACCAGATAGGCCAGGAGATTCGGGGGAGAAGGAATGTAGGACTGAGAACTCGGGTGGAGGTAGGAGGATGGCGAGAGTTTAGGGCCCTGACGACAGGATTGCGGTGCCGAGTACCTCGTTTCATGGTAGACCTGGTATTCGGCAGCCTCTCGAGGGCAAGAGACTTGGTGGACTCGACCTTAGTCTGGATCCACCACTTCCAGCCACAGACGACGGGAATGTTTTACGATGTGTCAGTTAGGCACGGACCATTTTGGGAAAATCAGGCCCGTGAACTACTCGAACTCATCGAAATTCTGATATTCGGAATACCACGCTTGGCGTTTGAGGAGTATGAACCAATAATTATCAGGGAGATATAAATGGGAGAAGACTACCTTGCGGGGGCGGCTAACCTGTTCGAAAAACTTGACGAACAGGACAGGCATGAGGGACCAGCGTGAGAAAAATACCGGGAGAAGGCAGCGAAAGTAAAAGCTGAAAATTAAAATGAGGGATTAACCATCTACGGAAGGTAATGGTCGGAGTCTTATTCTACCTGAGAACACGTCAGGAAGGGACCGGAAAGGCCACCACCGCTAAGGACGCCGAGGGTATCCGGGAGTCGGAAAGGCAAAAAGGGCCATCTTCAAGAAGAGAGTCGCCAACCCTGGATACCGCCTTTAAAACTTAGGCATGGCAGTGACAAAACGCCGAACCTCGGTAGCGAGCCTTCCGGCAAAGGAAAGGTAGGCTGTGCCCTTCAGAGTAAGAAAACCTCAGATAAGCCGTCACGACTGATATAAGACGGGAAATATGGAAATAGCAAAGATAAGGACCTTAGGACCTGGGAACTAGGGAAGCTGTGAACGACCGACCGTTTTGCAAAAAAAAAAATTCCATGTGCAGGGGTAGGAAAGGATGGCGTCAGAAGAGGAGGCTGGGAACCTGCAGAGCAAAGGGAGTCAGGGCACAAAAAGGGGCGTGGAACGAAACGAAGGGTCAATAAGGGACCGGGAATCAGCAAATCCGAAGGGGACCAAGGAAGACGGGAAGGATCTCTCGACGGGGGAAAGTTCGGGAAAGGCCGGGGGAAGTAAACGAGGATCTCAGAAGAATAAGGAAGGAAGGGACAAGGAAAGGTCGAGTCCGCGAAACTCGGATGGGATCATGTCCAAGAAAGCGAAAGTCTCGGACGCACGGCATAAGCTGACAGAGATAGAAAAGCGAACCGCGGAGTATAAGGCGAGACTTATTGAAGAAATGATGGCTGGGAACGAAAGGGTTCTTCTAGGAGTGGAGCTATGAGAGGAGCGCAGGACTAGCCAGAGCGAAATCAGGCACGGAGGGAAGGATAGTAGTCATAAGGGGACGCCTAACAAGAAAGGGAAGGAAAAGGAGGACTCCCCGGTTGTAGAAGCGGAAAAAGCTACGAACCCACCTGCCATAGACAGTGATGCTAGCCGCTTACCTGCCGCGCCAAAAATAATGAAGAGGTGCGACGGACTTTGGGGTCTCAGAGAAAGGGTATTAGGGTGGTTTGATCCGGAGGGAACAACAATAACTGGAGAAAAGCAGAAGGATAGCCAGGAAGGAGAGGGGACTAGTACGGCTGGCGAAACAGGTAGTTCCAAGGGCGGGCTCAAGAAAATAGTATCCACCCTCACTCGGGCATTGAACAAAAATCAGGGCTACCTCGCGGATGCCAAGAAGAAGCTCACCTTTGATGGGGCAAACATCACCGAATTCCTGATAGACTACGAGAACCTAGCAGCCTTGTTGAAATGGAGCGAGGAAGAAAAGATGGACCACTTAGGGCAGCATGTGTCACTAGGCTTAGGAAGAGACATTATGGCCATCATCGTCGTCAGTGGATCTTGGAAAAAGTCCCGAAATGAAATGATGAGGAAGTATCTAAAGACGGAGAAAATGGCAACAGGAGCTGAATTGGTTGCCGTACAGAGGAAGAACTATGCGACTTACAACGACTTCCTGAGAGTATTTACCCTAGTGGCGTTACGAATTCCCGAGGTAACAGACCAGATCATGAGCAAGTATTTCCTTAAACAATTCTCCGAGTTCGACAAAAATAAGATTTTGTCGGCCTATCAATAGACCAGCAAGTTTGAGTACACGAGGGACGTAGACTTCAGCACGGTGACAAACCTCGTGGAGAAGACGGTGGTAACCGAGATGTTAGCTTTGCTTAAGGAGGGAGAGGTCATAGACTTGACCGGAAAGACAAGAGACGCGGTAAGGGAATAGAAAGTCTGCACGAACGGGTGCACGGAGTCGATAATAAGATAGAAAGAGTGGAAAATGCACTATTGGTAATGCAGGCGCAAGTTTTCCGACCCGCCCTCCCGCCCCAAGAGGCCGTAGTTCCGGCAGCAGTAGCCAACCAAGGATACGGAAGGAAAGATCTGGCCAGTGAGAAGTGTCGATATTGCACGATGATTGGTCACTTTGTGTGGACCTGCCCAAGACTCAACCACGATATTATGAGACAGAGATGTCGCAGGGGAGCGAATAAACTGGAATTCGCCAGGCGGAATGCGGCGTGCCGTCATCATCCTGAATAACCTGGATATATCCGTCATAGAAGCCGAGCCGATAGCGGATATTGTTTGGGACCAGCCGCGGGGGCGCGGAGCACAAGTCAATTTCATCCTAAAAGGTAATGGACAAGACATGGTAAACATCACCACGCGGCGGGCAGGGGCGGAAAAGAAACTTATCCGAGGTACGGTAATGGAGAAGGTTGCGGGAACCAACGCCAATCAAGGTGAGCCCGAGACCGGGGAGCCGGAGAAAGTCTACGGGAAAAAAGGGAGGAAGAACCGGTAGACAAAGTCACGGCGGCAAAGAAGAAGTTCAGATATCAAATTCCGATCTTAACCATGCCAGAGATCGACGACAACCTGAGCAAATTGATGGGTACCATGGTATCTGTATCCTTTCAAACCATGTTGCAAGCAAGCCCTAGATTGCTTAAGGGACTCAGGCAACTGCTAACGCGCAGACGCGTAGAGGTAGAAGAGGCTTCGGAACCGCAGGAATAAGAAACGGAGGAGGCTGAGGCACCACAAGGGGTCACCAACCTCTAGAGGATTCAAGGGGATCTGGAGGACCTGGAAAAGGTCTTTGCAGACATCCGCTTAAGCCTACCTGACCGAGAAGGCGGCGAGGTCACGAGGGCACCTCCCGGGACGAAGCTCAATTTCCATGCACTGCCCGTAGGAAAGCTGAAGGTCCAGATCGGGACTCATCACATAGATGCACTAGTAGACGGAGGCGCCGAAATTACCCTCATACGGAGAGACTTCACGACAAGTACGGACTGCACGGTAAACAAGGGAGTAACAGGGAGCATCCGGGGGGCCGGCGGAGAAATTCCGTTCGCAGGATATGTCACTAAGTGTGCGGTCAAGGCTGGAGTCAGGGAGTCGATCTGGTCATTTCAGCGGATGACCGTAATGGAGGAAATGGACCACGACATAATCCTCGGGAGACCATGGTGCGCCAGCGTAGAAATGATAGGCATGCACTTGCACAACGACACATACATGGTAGATATAGAGGACCCAGTAACCAGTCGAGGAGAGCTTCTTCGACTCCTTGGGACCGGAGGGGACCCTCCGAAGGGAAAGTTGGCAACTTGGTCACCAGCGTTCGAGGATAGTGCTCGAAAAGGAGCATTCGCCCGGATGGAAGGTATGAGAAAAAGGGTGGAAATCATGATTGAGGAGGCTTTTAGCAAAAAGGAATGGATCAAGATGGGTCTGCCTCTGAAGAAAAGGAGGCAAGAAGACGAGGTCTTAGGGATCATGGTAGCAGAGAAGGAGCCGAAAGTCGAACTTGGGGCCAGTTTGCCTAAACCCAAGGAGTGTCGGAAGGAAATGCCGGAGGTAACAATCGAAATTCCGAACCTGTTACAACTCGTTACGGCTATGAGATACCACAAAGTAGGGGTGGACCCGGCAGCGCTTGCCAAATTCGAGGATGAGGTTCGAAAGGGCTACTGTCTGAACGGGAAGGTAGTCAGCATTTAACCCCGCGTCGCGGAGATAGCAAAGCCAATTCCGACCGTTCATTTTTTAGAAGAACGATCCCAGAAGGAAGTGTTTGAAAGTACAAGCCGGTAGGGAAGAAAGTTAAGCCAGTTTCGATCCTAGTGGAGACATCAAAGGAGGAGGCCATGGAGAAGGAGGAAGAAATTTTGCGGATAATAAGGGAGAGGCGAGCAGCGGAAGGGCATCGGATACCCGACGAGGTAGCGGACACCATGAAAATAGGGGTAGATGGGTTCCTAACGGAAGAAGAAACCCGGGTGATAAAAAGGACATGCCAGGACTTTTACTTAGCATTTGCTTTCAATGACCATTAGAAAGGTCGATTGGATGCAAAGCTAATTTCCCCCGTTAGGATCCACACAGTGGAACATGAGTGCTGGAACGACAAAGGGCCCGCCTACGAGTTCGGAATAGCAGCAGAGGTCACCGAATTACTCAGGGCTAAGATAAATTCATTCGTGGCGGAGCCCACTGCGTCCCTCTACGCGAACAAGTGGTTTGTTTTTCGGAAACCCAACAAGATGCTCATGTGGATCCAAGATTTGCAGAAGCTGAATGCGGTGACAATCCGGGATGCGGGATCGCTTCCACAAACCGATTTGCTGGCAGAATCTCACGCCGGCTGGAGCATTGACTCCTTGATAGACTTATATTCAGGATATGACCAACTGCCGCTCGATGCCAGGGACAGACCGTACACCGCCATCCACACCCCTGTAGGGCAGCTGCAGATGCAGGTAACCCCTATGGGCTTTACGAACGCTGTGGCAGAGGCACAAAGGGGGATGCTTGCGGTAGCTGGGAACATGTTCCCGGAAAAATGTGAGCCGTATATAGATGACAATCCTATAAAAGGCGCGCAGAACAAAGACGAGATGGAGGTCCAGCCGGGGGTTCGGAAGTTCGTCTGGGATCACCTACAAGATATCAAGGACTTACTCCAGCGGTTCCTAGTATATAATATCACCGCAAGCGGGCCAAAGAGCATCATGGCGGTTGCAGAAGTGATCATACTGAGGTTTCGCTGTGGGGCCTATGGGAGGAAGCCTGACCTGGCGAAAACGGATAAAATCTCTCAATGATCAATACCCTTGCGCACCACGACGGAAGTACGAGCCTTCCTAGGGGTGGTTGGATTCTGGAGGATCTTTATCAAAGGTTTTGCCGAAATAGCCGAGCCCATCCGCGTGATGATTAGGAAAGGAGGGACTATGGAGTGGACCGAGGATAGGGAAGCGGCGGTTCAGACCCTCAAAGACCTCTTGACTTCCGATCAGGTCACTTTGGCAGCGCCTTGCTTCAACGACGAGGTAGGACGACCCTTTATCCTGGAAACCGATGGAGGACCATTGGCAGTAGGAGGTGTTCTGATACAATGGAGCGAGGAGGGTAGAGAAAGACCTATTAGGTTCGAGAGCAGGACCCTGAATTCGGCAGAACGACGATACTCCCAATTCAAAAAAGAGGTTTTAGCCATCCTACATTGTCTCAAGACCTTTCAAGCGTACCTATTCGGAAGACGGTTTATCATGAGGATCGATCCGACCAACATCTCAGGAGTATTAAAGAACTATAAGCCTATAGACCTGACCGTGGGGAGATGGATAGGCTTTATCTGGCAGTTAGATTACAAGATCGAGCGAATTTCGGGGCTCCGAAACAAAGCAGACGGATTAAGTCGGGTCTGCATCACACCGGATGGCATAGAGGATGCGGAGCCAATCGATGCCTTCTTGGAATATGAGGGAGGAACCCTTGCTGTGGATAACGAGATGATAAGTCCGGCCTGCACGCCAGGGCAATTACTGATCCAGACTTTAGAAGGAGGGACGCCTGCTGTAGTTGCGGAACTCAGGGAAGGGCCAGTCACCACGATTAGACGCAAAGATGAGAAGGATTCGTGGGGGGAAACAATGGGGCCGAAGGAGGAGTTGATGGCAATGGCCATTGAAGGAGGTCGGGACGCCGTGATGTGCCTAGTAGAGTCGTGGACACGAAAGGAACTGCGGTATCTAGTAAGTCAGGCTCAGGAAAAGCGAGATACGAACCAGGAGGGACAAATTTTTTTCCTCGTACAAATGTATGACGACGTCTTTCGAGAGATCAACCTGTTACTTATAGGAAACAAGCAGCCTTTGAAAGTCTGCCCCAAGGCAAGTGAGGAAGCTGAAAAGTATGTCCTGAGGAACGGCCACCTGTTCAAGAAGGAAGAAGGAATGACACCTAGGCGAGTTGTTTGCGGAAGGTCTAGGCAGTTGGACATAACACAAGCAATGCATGACGGACCAGTTGGAGGGCATCGATCATCAAAAGGGACCCTTGCAAAATCGCGCCGCTTTACTTCTGGCCAGGCATGGCGGGTATGGTGGCCACTTACTGTCAAACATGCCGAATTTGCCGAGAAAGGAGCTTCGCGCGTGTCTTTGAGCCTCTTAGACCTACTCGGGTGCTGGGGCCGGGGCATCTGGTCCATCTGGATCTCGCGGTCATGCCTTTATCAACAGACGGGTACAGGTATATCTTGGATGCAAGAGACAACCTGAGTGGTTACGTAGAGGCGGTCGTGCTTAAAAGAAAAACGGGGAAGGAAGTAACCGACTGGATAAAAGATTTCTACCTAAGGCACCCCTTCATTTAAAGATTCATAGCGGATAACGGGATGGAGTTTGTAAACCAGGAAGTTTTAGGCGAGCTTAAGATGTTGTGCGTGCCTATCAAGATCATCGAGTCGTATCATCCTGAGGCCAACGCGCCTGTCGAGAAGGGGCACCAGACTTTGAAAAACACAATTGCTAAGTTGGCGGCAGACGACCTGGGGAATCGGCCCCGGTACCTTAAGCAGGCAGTCTTCTCAGAGAACATGACGCCGAAAAGGATGACGGGATGCATTCCGACAGAACTCAAAAGGGAGATTGATTTCCCGGTGGAGGCATTGGTACCCACCTAGAATAGGCTAGATGACAATCCGCGCATGACCACGAAAGAATTAATCGAGGCACTATGTCAACAGGTCCTTAGGAATGAAGAGGCCTTGGAGGAAGTTGTTAAGCGAGTGATGGATAGCGGAACGAGGGACAAAGCAAGATAAGACTAGGTCAAAAACATCCAGAAGGAGTCACTCCAGGTGGGGGAAATGGTACTAGTTAGGAACTCGGCCCTTGAAAGCACGTGGTCTGGACAACTGGAAAGGAGGTTCAAAGGTCCCTACCGGGTCGCTAAGCAGGTGGGAATGAACACCTTCGAGCTTGAGGATCTTGATGGTACTGGAATAAAAGGGTCATTCCCGGGACAGAGGTTGGTCAGATTCCTAAGCCGGGACCCAGTGGAGCAATGGTTGCAAGAAGCTCAGGACAAGGAAACAGGGGACTTGACAGTTTGAGAAGCAGGCAGTTGGACCATACTCTTGTACCGTCCCTCTGCGGAAATGATCATGACTACAGGGGTTGTTTTTTTTTGTGTCCTCTCCTTTTTCTGGGGCATGGGGTGACTGCTTGGGTTGAATACGGATGGGGTTGGTAGCTCTGCGGCAATGAATCATAGTTTTTGTGGGGTAATGGTGGGATTGTCTATGTGGGGTATCTATGTGTTGGGGCAATATATCATAGTTTTTGTGGGATAATGGGAGCATCCGCCTACGATGTCACTTTGAGAGGGCTACCAATCACACGGGATTGAGCAAGGGTTCTGGGGAGCAAAGCCTACAAATTCGCAATGGGAGTGGGAAGGAATGTGTGCATATGGGGGCTGATGTGTTTTTTGTTTGTTACATATGCACAGGACCAGGGAAAAAGAAAGCAACAAGAAAGACAACAATGGAATTTAGAAATGAAAACGACAGCAATTTCATCAACAGGCCCAGCGGGGAACGAGGGCCAAGACCAATCGAGGACAAAAAGAGGAAGTTGTATGTGGGATTTGACTTCAATTTGGTCGTAGTCAGGGGAGGAAGAAAACAGGGGACAAGGAGGTCCTCACCTCTTACAGAAGGGGAAGGGATATATGTTCCGTCTGGGAGTGAAAGCGAGGGAGAGAATGCGAGCCCAAGAAAAAGGCAGGAACTAAACAAGGGGGAGAGCTAGAACCCTATCAGGGAGGGCGCCGAAAGTGGTGAACAGCATGTATGGCATGAGGACGTATGTGATGAAAGGCCTCACCCCCATGAACCAGAGGAACGTGAGGAAGAGTATAGCCTCATTCAAGATAGCAGCATCGACGAAAATAGGGAAGAACCTAACGAAGTCATAGATATCAGCAGTGAAGACGAGGCCGAAGAAGTCACAACACCAACGGAAGAAGTGTGGGCGAGGGATGAGGATCCGGAGGATGAGAATGACAAATGGATACGAGAGTTTAGGGTTACTTGTAACCACTGCTTTGACCAGTGGACTTGTATCATGCGGCACGATTGGGCATTAAAGGCACAGGAACAGCTGAGCAGGGGGGAAGAGATAACACCACCAACCTTCCTCACGGAAGGGGCGCTCGTCGACTTGCAAAGGACGAAGAGAAGGATTCAGAGGGAAATGGATGCCCGGGCAAGGCAGGCCCAACGCAAGGCAACTGAGCAACAAGAGGACAGTGGACGTAAAAGGGACTAGGCATAACAAAACAAAAAAAGGGGGGAGGGAACGGATACCCCGGGCAGGCAAGACTATGGTGTTGAGTTTTGCATTTGAATTCCTAGAAATAAACTGCAACGGGATGACTTTTTGTTTTAGAAATGGCTAAGGATTGGGTAGCTAGTGCTACTTTGTATGAGTACTTGCTTTTCAGAAGAACTTGAGGACCGATAAGCTTGACACTAGAACTGTGAAAGACCGACTTTGTTCAGGGAAAGCAAAAGGAAAAGGGGTACTTAGATGAGACAAGACTCTGAGGTTGTTCTTACAATTTGAATTCCTAAAAGCAAACTACTACAAGACTGCTCGGCGAACTGGAATGCATTGAGTAGCTAAAGCCACTTCGCAAAAGTACTTGCTCCTTTGGGAAACTTGAGGATCGATGAGATTGAGACAAGACCTGTGAATGGTTGACTCTGTTTTGAGAAAGCAAAAGGAGAAGGGATTGTCAAGATTGAGGGAAGTTATGGCAAAATGTTTTGTAAAATGTGTGATTGACCCTCGAATGAATTATGGCATGAGTTTCTGAGAGAGGTTAGGGGACCTATGGGTGAAGAGGCACGAGGAATTATCTTCCCTAGGAGCCTAACCCAACCAGTCACAGACAAGTCTAGAACAACAAGAGGCATGAGAAGTCAGGAAGAGAGAAAACAATGATGGCGCACACTCCCCTCGCTATGGTTGAACGACCGGGTGGGTTAGTGCTGCTTGGGGCTGCGAGCCTCAACTTGAGCGCTAGACACTAAGTCGGATGTATGCATGGATAAGTGAATGTTGTTGACAAAGGACAAAGGAAAAGGCATGCATAAAAACCCAAGAAGTTGGCCACCTTCTAACCTCCGAGACAGAGATGGGATCAGTGTCCTCGAGGCCCACCCCCTCGGGCGCTAACATTGGAATGGATAGGGACGGCCCTGACAAGGCCGACCGATTGGAATGGAAAAGGAATGGCCCTAACCAGGCTGTTCGACTTGAGAATGGAAAGGAATGACCCTAACCAAGCTGTTCGACTTGAGAATGGAAAGGAATGACCCTAACCAGGCTGTTCGACTTGAGAATGGAAAGGAATGGTCCTAACCAGGCTATTCGACTTGAGAATGAAAAAGAATGACCCTAACCAGGTTGTTCGGAAATGGCCCCTGATAAGGGTCATTTCATTTGAAATAGGCACTGGGGTCCCCTGCGGAATTGATTGAGAGATGTTGATTGAGAAAAAGCTGGAATGAGCACTGTGAGATGGAAAAGTCCGGTGGGTCGGTCATTGAAATAGCCATGAGGATGGATGAAAGAGAATGATGCCGTGGAAAGAGAATGGCAGGGTAAAGAAGGTCGGGCCTCAAGTTGAGAAGGGCATAGGCCGTTGGGACGGTTATAAGGGTTAAACGTTGCAACTGCGGAAATTGAGGATTGGAGGTGGGCCGACGAGTCGGCCTTGGAAAGATAGTTATTGAAGAAGCGACCACCGGATCGGTCACGAGGGGTGACCTTGTTGAAGAGAGGTTGTCAGACCAGCCACGAGAAAGAGCTAGAAACAACATTGGATTGAGTGATGAGAATTGGATATTGCATTGCATAAGTCAGGGGACCCTAGGCAATTTTGAAGAAAGGTCGTCGGGCCAACCATGGAAATGGCATTGAGAAAGATTTTTCCTTTTCCTCTAGTCTTTGGCCTCAGCAGGAGGGGGATACCGGTGCCCGCACCGCGACCCCAAGACCTCTATCCTTCTAAGGAAAAAGTCTCAGTGCGACCTGTTCCTCTTAAAAGGGGATGAGGGTTAAAGGATCAAAGCACCTATCCCTTGGATCGGTGTTGGCCGTCCGGAACTAATTCCGACAATGAGCTCTAGTTGGGGAGTTCAAATTGCGCCTCATGCTGAGAGCCTAAACGTCAAAGGGTGAGAGAACCAAATGGGCAAGAGAGTCATTCTTATTCTAATCTCTTTTGCTCTCTCCAACCACACGCCATGCCATAGAGGGGTGGCATGGCCGTTTGGGTCGGACCTCGGCTGCCCGCACTAAGTTGGGCGGCACTGTCCAAGGGGAGGGGCCGGGCGAGGTACCGGGTGGAGTCCGCCACCACCACGAGGCCTTGACATCGCCTCGTCGGAGCATTGCAACTGTTTCGAGACTAACCGCAAGGTCTTCGTAACTGCACTCGCGAACTAATAGAGAGCCCCAACTCTCTTGAAAGGAAGAGGCCGGATCCAGAAAAATTACCACTCGGGAGGAACGATTCGCGAGGGAAGCTCCTATGGCAAGACGGGGCCCTGGGAGGCTTGGACTGGACCTACCTGCCAGATGTGAGGAGGAACCTCAGTGATGATGCTCGCCTCGTAATAGCAAAATGTCGGACTGAGTAGAAGGATGAGGCGTCACCCGCTGGGGAAAAACTGATCACTCTTCCTTTTTGAAGCGGATGGGCTTGCGTCCTTGACTGCAGTCGACGGACCAAAGGTCTGCGTACCACCGAGTGAGAACCAGTCGTATGATGGGGACATCGCATTTTGAGTGGGGGGAAGGTGTGCCATCTACCGATGAAAAAACATGCCGGAGAGAAAAAAAACTTGTGTAATTGGCTTTGTATGGGCTTGAGAAAGGGGCCTGGCAAGATGCCCAGAAGAGAAAAAGACTCGTGTAATTGGTTTTGCATGGGCTTGAGAAAGGGGTCTGGCAAGAT